CGTGCTCACCCCTACCTGTATTTATAAATACCGAACCAACCAAATGCCCACTCCTACGTTGAACCCGAGCACGTGAATTGGGTTCTTGATGTTAGGCTCGCTTATATTTCGATCAGTCCGATAGTCCAAAGCTAGAGCCAGTTTGCTCACTTATTTGGTTGGGCTTCCTTCTTCACAACGGGATTACAGACGCTTCGCAATCTTTTATGGGCTTCAATCTTTGTTCCCTGGGGCTGATAAAATACGGCCCAACTTCCTTTGAACTTTACGATTGCCTTAAACAGGGGCTACAAACAAGCCTAGAACACCATTTGGTCTTGCTAATTCTTAACCCGAATTCAACACATAAAATGTTATTTATACCTAGGGATGACCTGTTTATGATTAGAGAACTGGTAAATTCATGGAGTAGAGATAATAGAATCAATTGGAGAATGGATAATTTGACTCAATTGTTATGACTATATAGATATTGGGTTGGATCTATATGAATTTTGAATAGGTTTTGGTTGAGTTGAATTGAATTGGATCTAATTTGAGTAAACTCATTGGATCGTATCTAAATGGGTCTATTTTGGATTCAAAAGATTTTACGCATAAAGACAATATTTACAATCTTATTAATTGTCTTCAACCCAATTACACCTTTCTATTTGTTTCGTAACAAAAAAATAACAGACAAAAATGCGTTGAAATCGGGAATTCATTTTTTTTTATCTAATACCATGTATCCAACAAACCCAAACTAAAATTTGGATATGAGAATGTCCAAAAAGTAAAATTAACTAAACTTGACTTTATCAATAAGTTGGAATGGGGCAATAGTGATACTCAAATATTGATTCTTTTTTGCCATCCCTAATCCTAGCCAACCAATATCCTAATCTAGGAAGGACTAAGAAGGATGAGGAATTTGCACACGTAAAAAATGAGGTTAATATATCTGTATTGTCCAAATATTTTCTATATTTAATATCACGGCCAATCTTTTTATTATTTAATATCATGGACTGAACTAATCCTACATTTTACTAATTTGGCCAAACTCGAGAGTTGAATGTTAATTTTGATGGTCAAACCCGCCATTTCTGTAACATCCCGAACCTTTTCCCACAAGATACTGTCCGCTTTGAGCCTCTACACCCGCACGGATTTCGACTTGTGGTGCAATTCAAGGTGACTTCCCATAAGGTCACCCATCCTTGTTGTACTCCACACTGAGCACGTTTAACTTCGGAGTTCTCACAAGAACTCTTCCATTACACCCCAAAACGCGTCTTGTCAGTTAAGGTCGGTTTCCTACTTATGAACCATGGATCTCTCCCGTGCTTTGTCGATGTGGGATTTGCCTAAGGTGTTACAATTTCACTGCCCAATCAGTATAAATAAACTTACAAAATTCCTAAATTCCACATAATTCCAAAAAATTATTATAATAAAATTAAAAAATAAAACAAAAATTGGAAAAAAATAAAAACGGAGAAACAAAAATTCCCAATGCTTCTACCTCCGGCAGTTAAAACCCAAACTCAATTTATGTTTTTTGTTGAAAGTTGAAACCAAATGACTCCTTTTTTCCTTAACAAACTAATCATTTGATACACAAATAACTCAAGAGAAAATATCATAAACAAACCGCCTCTAATTATCCTAATGCAATTGCAATTTGGAATTCCCCTCTTTGATCAAATCTCTTTAATGTTTGAACTTTGAACACTTTAAAGGCACACAAAACAGGGGCATTGAAACAAAGAGCAAAGGCTTCAATGATTTTAACCTTGCTCTTCTCGCTAAGCAGGCTTGGCACCTACTCACGACCCCTGAGTCATTGTGGAGCCGTCTCCTGAGAGGTTTGTACTTCCCTAGAGGTGATTTTCTAAATGCTAAAAAGGGGTGCAAAGCTTCATGGATCTGGGCTAGTATTTGGGAGGCTAAAAAGGTGATTGGTTTGGGAGCAGTTAGAGTGATTGGATCAGGTGAAGACACGTTGATCGATCGGGACCCTTGGATCCCCACTTTGGACAATAAGGCTCTCAGGACGGGCCCCCAGAATCATCAAAAGGTCAACGAGTGGATTGATCCTGGAGAAAGGAAATGGATACCGGATGTTATCCAGGGACATGTGTCTAGCTCAGAACGCGAAGCTATCCTCAGGATTCCAATTGGGGAGGATGGAGCTGATGACTTTTGGGCATGGAACTACAATGAGGAGGGAAAGTTTACTGTGAAATCTGCGTACCATACGATTCACAGAGCCAACACCAATATGCAACCAAGCGGGAATATAGAAAAATGGAAGTGGATTTGGAGCCTTCACATCCCCCCGAAGTTGAAGTTCTTTGTATGGAGATGCTCCAGGAATGGATTAGCAACGAAAGAGAGACTGCTCCAGAGGAAGTGTGCCCCCAATTCTTCCTGTCAGGTGTGCCTGAACCCCGTCGAATCCGTCAATCACTGCCTGTTCCAATGCCCCCATGCCAAGGTGGCATGGAATGCTCTTTTTCCTTCTCTCCCTTTACCCCCCCTCAGGGAACCTTGTTCTTTGACTGGTTCTGCGCCCCTAAAGATGTTGTTCAACATAGCTCCTTGATCCATATTGTTTTCCTCTGTTGGAACATCTGGAAGGCGAGGAACGAATGCTCCTTCAAGAATAGAATCCCGTGGCCTCCGAAGGTGTGCCAACTTACCTATAAAGAGCTTACTGAATGGAATTCGTGCCCGAGGTCCCCACCTCCCCTGCCTTCCCTTCCCACGCAGCTCAGGGGAACCCAGTCTCATACGAATCCACCCCCAAGTAATCAGTCTTTGGTGATTCACTGTGATGGGTCGTTCATTAGCGACTCCCAGTCGGCGGCATATGGTGTTGTGGTTGTTAACCACCATGGACAAGTGTGTGATGGGAGAGCTGAGAATCTTCTTTGTTCCACCCCGATTGAAGCAGAAACTAAGGCCCTTCTCGAAGGAGTGAAATTAGCTCAAGAATATGGATCTGAATGTACGGTTCAATCCGACTGTCAAGTGCTGGTGAGAGCTTTGGATAATGATCGCTCTCGATGGCCATGGAAATGTGCAGCATGGATCGGATCGATTGTTTCTATCATTCGGTCAAACCCTCTCATCAAAGTCAAAGAAGTGCCCAGAACACTTAATGTCAGAGCAGATTGGGTGGCACGATCAAAAGCTCGAACATCGCTTCCTAATGATTGGATTAATATTCTTGATCTCATTTCTGATTTTCTTTAAAATTGTAACCGAGTTTCTCGTCTTTCAGTTGTTTGGTGGAATAAAAGTTGGTAATCTTTGTAAAAAAAAAAAGAAAAACAAAGAGCAAAGGCCAAAGAGGACCAAATAGGGAGTTGACAGGTGGAGGTGGGGCAAACACATACTTGTACAACAAGCCTACTTTCAGTCCATCGCTTTGTGTCTACTTAAAAACATTACGGAAACACAAACCGATAAATTAAAGATCATATTATATAAAATTGATAAAAATAAAGTACAAACTCACGTGTTGCTAATTGAATTCGTTTATAGAAAATAATTCATTAGACCAATAGTTGCTAATTGAATTCTAAATTTTAAATTAAAAAAAAAGAGCAATAAAAATAAATAAATATAATAACGGCAATGATTTGTTTATGAGTGGAGACTGGAGAGGCATGGGGCGGAAGTGTGGAAAACACTGGTAATTGGTGGGGTGGAGAGGAAAGTTCTCTTGCTACCGACATTGCAAAATCAGAATGTGAATGGCAAGAAGATTCATCACCAAGACAAGAGAAACAAATTATATTGAAAAAACATACATTGTATATTTGTATTGTTGTAGTGTAAATAAACATTGTATTGTTACGAAAAATATAATTATTGGCCTAGTTGTTGATAAATCTTTTTATTGTTGGTACTTGTTAACCAACCAGATACATATATAGATGGTATTATATTATTCATACTATACCTTTGCAAAGCATAGTAAGGTCACTTCATCTTTTACCAAGTAGTTCATGGGTACAAGTTGGGGTTATGTAATCATAATACTTGTACAATAAATCAATATAGACGGACCTTGAAGGATAATAGTTATTGATTAATAACTTAAAAAGCTTTCTTGTATTATCTTAATCGTTCAAATTTATTCATAATTACTTTGAATACCCCTTAAATACTCTTTGTATTTTTTCCTATAAAATAAATATTCATTGTATCTTAAATATTCCAAATTTGTACGATAACTTATCAAATTCTACAAATTTATTGTACTAAAAGCAGCATTGATCCTACCAAACTACTTGTTGCAATAAGAGAAGACTTCGCCCCAGATTTTCAATGCAATAAGGGAAGTTCAAAACGAACTTATCCTTCATTTGAACTTCAAAAAGAAGCAAACAACTATAGGTTCACATTTTTTTAGATTATCCTATATATTATAAAGTTCTTGATCAATTATATTTTTACATTTTTACAATTATTAATTTATATAATTGAAAATACATGTGTTTAACTTTTTATGCAGGTTAGTTCTAAAAAAATATTATCTTATTATTTTAATTAAATTTAATTGTAGTTTATATTACACATTGGGGATGAGAGTAATTATTAATTTATAAATATATTATTAATTTATCGAGTATTAATTTGTAAAAATTTATTATAGTTGGAAGATATCTTGAGACATCAATTAGTATAAGCTAAATTTAGAGTAGTGATTTTGAATATGTTCATCTGAATTATTTTTCTAATTATACCCAATCTTATTTTAAAATAAGAACGACCCGAATATCTAAAATCGAAAAATTCATAAGGCCTATACTAACTATGGATCCAGAGGAGGGCTGGGCCGGGGCCCGGGGTGGCCACCCCTGGATCCGCCACTGCTAGAAATTTTTTTAGGTGTTTTGTGAGATTCTTTTGTGATTTGTGGAGGTGTAGTGTGTGCAGCAATGTGTATATTTTCACCCCAAGTATAAGCAATCACCCTTTTGGTGGTTCCCCTGTCCCTTTTACCTTAGTTTTTTTTTTTTTTCCTTCCAAAAGTTGGAAAGTGCTGTATATTTTCTACCTTCCTCTCCCCACCATTTTCTTTCTTTCACCACCCACAAAAACCCAAATGGGATGGCTTCAATCCCTCTTCTTCCCATTGAAGAAGCTCTGGTTCCGCCTCCACGCCACACCCAGCAAGAGTACGTTTAGATCTCATCCTTACTCTCTTCTCTCTCAATTCTCCAACAATTATATCAATTAGTCCCCCATTGAAGCTTCATTGCTCTGTTTTTTCATCTCCTCTGTTTCTCCCATTTCACCATCGCTGTACACTTCTGTCTGATCGAACCCTTGCTTCCACTCGGGTTTCATCGCAGGAAGAGGGATATACATTTTGTACGATGATGTGAAGTCGTGCCCGTACGAAGATGTTCATGTTCTGTGGTCGATACTGGTGGAGGCCAATTCCACTCTGCAGCCACAGCAGCAGCCATCAAAGCAGCAATGAGCAAGAGCAGTAGTATCATTGCGGAACTGCACCTTGGATCGCGGCGGAAATGACACATACATTCGAGCTCAACCGTACCCTCATCTTTGTACATAGTAACAATAATTAAACCGTATTTATATGCGTGGTTTATTAAAACATACACAGACATTAGGAATGCTCATCTTTTTTGGTCCTTCCCCTGTTTTGTTTGCTTTCCCCTGTTCTTGTATATGCTTTCCTACTTGCGTTTTTGGGATCTTCCATTGAACATGCTTAAACGTCAATGCAACCCTAAATGGAAATTTGGTGGGTAGGATCTTGGGGGAAATTGTGTTTCTAGATTTCTTCTTGTTCTTCAAAGTGAGCTGTGCTCTGTCTCTCTCTGGCGATAGTTGCTTTGTCAGTTCCAGCGGTTGAGAAGGGCAGGGGGTGACGGTTTGTCTCTTCTTTCAATTCATGTATGGTTACCGAAGTTGACTCTGCGAAAAACGAAAGATATCTGAAGGGATTGGACAACACATGAATTAGACAGACTCGTAATTTACCACATCGACTCGACTAATTACCACTCTTATACCACCAGAATATGATAGTCACAACGTTTCTATGTTTTCGAATGAGCAAATCAAGGCTACCAGAAGGCGAATTGTAGATAGTTTGTCGTTCTTCTGAATCGGTGAATTCAGATGCTGCATTATCTGCACGAATGAATAATACATTAAATTCGAACACAACTCATATTTGATGTTATCAATTGGAGAGAACAAGACCTTATGCTTGGATCCTTGGACAAAACTTGATAAAAGTCTTCAACAAAAAAATTGCTTTCTCCCTTGACAAGAATGTCTAACGAGTGAATTACCAGATGAAATTCACCCTAAAATCTCAAAGTTGAAACCTCACTATTTAACATCTCATTATCATTGAGAGTTCCTTTTCGTTTTGACATTTACTTGATTTGATATTCGATTAATGTTGAGGCTTGTTGATTAATGACGCTAGAGCACTAAAGCCAGGTGTTGGTTTCATATGTAGCCATGTAGGTAAAGCTGAATATTTTGCTAGTAAAGCATCCTGGTAGTCACTGTCCATCATTGTCCACGTCACACTGTCCCTTCAGTTTTGTGAAGTCTTTAGACCAAAACCTTTGTAAAGAGGGCGATAATGAAAAGAAAAGGTAGCTTCTTTCCTTGTTTAGGCCGAACACAGCATCCTGTGGAAGTCCAACAAATACACCGCCCAGACAATTAGCTAGCCAAGTAGGCATCATGTCAACTAACATGAATTGCAGCTACGCAAACTGCTAAATTTGAGGCTTTTAAATCTAAAATGGTAGAGCTGTCGGTTCACTCATGTGGTGCAAACTCTTTTAATGCAGCGCTGAAATAATTGGGCAACATCAGCATAAGAAAAACTTACGACCTAACCGACTATATCAATCACCCACCACGACCATTATGTACATCAGCAGTTACTTATCTTGCTTCTAATCACTCCAAGCAAATGGTACTTCTTTAGGGTTCTTCAAAGCTTGAACGCCTCTCTCTCTCTCTCTCTTGTTTTCCTGAGAGAAAAAAAAGACAACAACCCGTTGGTGAATTAGCATTTGTCAAGTAACGGAAGAGCCGCGAGATAGAAGATATGAGCTACATGTAGGGGTGTCAGTTCGGTTTGATTTGGTTAACCGAACCGAAACCATTAAAAACCAAAACAACGATAAAGAATGTTACTCCAAAATTGAACTTGAACCCATTAAGGGGGTTATCGGTTTTCGGTTAGCCAAAACCCGATAAGACCCTTAACAGGTTCGGTTCAATTAGAACAAACAGAAACCCCTTCTTCTTAGTTTCTGTTAGAGCAAGATTCGAGTTCGGTTTCTTATTGGCTTTCCAGCTTGAACCGAAAACAAAACAGTTAAAAACAAAAAACCACGAAACCGGTAGGATTCTTACCAGTTTCGGTTTGAACGGAAAAACCGAACCCAACTCCCCAGACCTAGCTACAGGAACAAGCAATTCACATAGGTCATAGGTGATTGTCGGATAAGCTTCTGCAATAGTGCAATGAGATTGGATGAGACCTAGTTTAAATGTTTGCACTTTGAGCTAAACCACTTACCGCTGATAAAACCAGTATGGGAATATCACAGTTCTATAACGCCTTTTACTACCTCTAATATACCCTGAACCACTAGGATCACTGGTCTGGTATGCAGCACATTTTCACGATCCAAGGTTATTAAGCTATGGTTCCATTTCTAAACTAAGGAGTTAACTCTTCGACTTATTCTTCTTTGTGTTTACTCCTATGGCTATTAACCGGGTCGCAATCGGTTTTTGCATGGAGATCGCAAGAGTCCTACAGCTATTAAAAGAGTTACCGAATTGCAGGAGTGAAGAGTCTAGCAGAATAGAAAGACGTTCTAGAAATAGACTGCAGGATGAAGTGATATCAGAACGGACACTGAGGTTGAAACAGAGGGGGAAAATGCAGCATGAAGTGATATCAGAACTCACCAGTATTGAGTTCACCACTTTGGACGCTTTCCCAATAAAATGCAGCAACTTATAAGGCAGACGGGGATGTGTGGTCAACTACACTCGGTAGCCAATCTTTGAAGTATGTGTGGCAGCCTACGTCAGCAGGGGAAAGAGCAGCAAGGGGAGTTACAGTAATCCGAAACAGAGAGAAATAGCGAGATGGTCCCGCTCACTCAAATTACAGTTCACAAGATGTCAGTGAAAGCAGGGAATACATTTAAGTTATAACACGTACATATCCATCCTTGAGATATTTGTGGTCCGAATCATCTTCAACAATTTGTGCTCCTTCCACCTGAGAAGAGTCAGATTCAAGTAAGTAAATCTTATCTTCCTAAAAATGGGCTTTGTTTGGTAAATAGAAAGGAATTCCCACTTTCTAAGCTGCAAGAAGAATACCAAAACTGTGGCGAAAAGAACAAAGGTAAGAAAGAAAGGGACCGACTTCTCTTTGGAAGATGAGACTTCCTTGGGACGCATCAGCCATTATATCAGCCTCCACTGGCATCTTTGCATCTGTATCCATTGTCATTGTTGACAACATTTTCCCTCGTGTGGTAGAAGTAACTTGCTTCCATCCCGTTCTATATATGCTTTTACCTTGTCTGGTGAGCTTATTCCCCTATTCCAATCAATAAAAGAACAAATCCTGGGTATTACAAGTGACAGCCAAGTAGTATCAGAATAGCCCAATGGACAGTCTACCACACCTAAACCAAAGGAAGGTTTTCAGATCAGAATCCCCCTTCCATCGTCCAGACATTTTATAGTCATTAGATTTAAACATAAAATGACTTGCGTGCCCCAACTCTCAAGACACATTAGCAAGATATATAATCATGGTGTATCACAAATACAGGAGGGAAATAAAGGGGGTAGAGTAATCCTCTATAAGTTCTACATTCAAAGGTTTTATGCTTGAAATTACCTTGTGCTGGGTAACATTTGTTGGCAAGTCTACATTCAAGAAGCACCCAGATGGATATTTTGTACTTTTAACTTCAGCAAGTATGCTTGATATAATTGGTATGCAAGCCTCAGCAGCAAGGGTGAAGTCATCAACACTGCTCTTTCCCCCAACCCTATAGATTCAGAACAATTAGAAACACACTAATTAGTGCTCTCCAGTTTAATGTAAAATATGCGGTGTAGTTAGATTAACTATAATAAATTTACCACGAGATGGAAAGCTAAGTGTAGAGAAGAGTGTATCTTGCCAATCATATGATACAGAGACTGAAGGGATGTCTTTCAAGAAGGCCTCACGGGCACCAGCAACTGTGCCGGAGTACACGCTGTCATACCAAACAAGGGAATCATCAGTGTATAGAAATGCAGTAATCGTAGTCTCCAGTACTTTCACGGATTTCATATCTAATAATTCGCTAAGTGCGCCACACAAAAATCATGGAAGTGGTAGTTGATTCATACATGTGATAGCCGCAGTTGCTCCCCATGTTTATGCCACTCACCACCTGCGTACATCAAATTTATAACACACAAGTAAACTTTAGAGAGACAGTGTTTTGGGAACAGATACTGCACAACAAAGAATGAGGGATCCACCACAAGTTCTAAGCAGAAGGACTCATCATAAGTAACATTAAAAAAGACTAGGCATCTAAATCGCTGAGCTAGTTTAACATAAGGCAAACATGATCATCCATGGCATAGTTACTGTAACCAATAAGGAATCTGAAATCTGAACCCAATTGTTAACAGCATTCTTCTAAGTGTCAGTTTCGAAGCTAGAGAATGAAAGCCAGAGAGCTACCAGGTTAGGAACTGAAGGAAACAGCGCTCCGGAGACTCCTAAGGAAGTACAATCAGCCGGAGTGCCTGCACAGTACAGAGCAATCTTCATTCTCCATCAAAGACTACACAAAGGTCAAATATTTTGAAGAGTGAGAGCAGCGAATCCCAAATGATTCGAACCAGACACTCCATAGGCCGTAGCTCCATCAATTTCCACTCGCCGAGCAGAAATTGGATGCCGCCAAGTAATACTGTGACTCACGGCTGACTTCTCTCTGCAATTTGTTTATAGCTAATTAGCTGATACCCCGCTGATGAAACCTAATTCCGCCATCAACAAAGTTCAGAAACAATCATAATTCGTTCTTCACATAAACAGGAATTTCCAATCATCACTCCAACTCTCACCGCTTGGAATTCGAATCGAGAGTTTCCATCGCAATTCTATACCACCTACGGCTAAAATCAAAAGACTACTTCCAGTAACGAAGAAGGAGATAACGAGAACGCAAGAAAAAGAAGAAAAACAACTTACGAATCAGGAGCGCAAACTAGTACTTGGAAGCGACGAGTGGAGACCAGGACTCGAACCAGGGATCGGAGCCCAGGCGCGTCGATACCGTCGTCATTGGTGACCATGACGGTCGGCAGGTGATGATCGAAGCTAGAAACGGCACCGGAGTTCTCCATTCTCGATTGCGATGTTGCCACAAGGGACGATCAGGAAGAGGAGGAGGAATCGTTGGTGTTCTGTTAACTGGTCAACGGAGAGAAGAGAGTGCGTTTTCGAGGAGGCGGAACAAATTTGGCCGCGAATCTTCGCCTTCTGTTCGCTAGAGTTTGCTGCATTTGGTTGGTTCAAGTTTGTCAACCCGCGGGTCGACCCGGATTAGCCCGGACCCGGCCAAAAAAATGGGCATACCAACCCATTTTCATGTCAGCCCGGAAATAGTCAAATCCGGAGAAACCCGGTCAAACTCGGGTTGGCCCGGCCGGTTAGTTCGTTGGAGCGGGTTAGCGGGTTGCTCTCCTGAGCCCCGTTTTGGCCGCTGCGTCGTCGTTCTGCGGACTGTGCGGAGACAGAGAGCAAACGAGGAGGAGGAAGCGGTGCCGTTCTACTTGGTGTTGGCGTGCTAGACAAAGCGAGAAGGAGGGGTCTGGTCGTCTGTAAACCAAAACCCTACAACATACATCGCCATCGATATCGCCACGCCGTCTCCCTCTCCCGCAGCCGCAGCCACGCCATTTCCAGCAGCGCATCCCTCTCCCTCTCCCGCAGCTGATCGATATCGCCACGCCTGGGTTCTTTGGCGGCGCGCTCCGGGTCGCCGGCGGAGAGAAGCATCTTCGCAGGTTGGCCGCCACCGTTCCGCCTCCTCTCCCTTCGGCTCGCCGCCTCTGATCGCCGCCTCTGCTCGGCCTCCGCCTCTGCCTCCACCCTTGTAAAGTTATTAACACTTCATATTCATATACTTAATTGTTTAATCTTCTTTGACTTGTAGGTGCTTGAAAAAGGAGTGGGCGAAAGACCCAATTGATTATGAACAATTAGATAACATTGATTTTTGGATTGTAGAAGAAGATCCACCTACAGATATAGACTATGAAGAGCTTGAAAAGACTCTTTATGAGGAGGAGGAGGAGGAGGAGCAAGGATCATCATCATCTTCTAACAAGCGTCCTCGTGTTGAAGGTTTGCCTATTATAGCAACTATAGAAAAGTCTTTACATTCTTATAATAACTATCTTCTATTGGTAATAATTATGAATATTTGATTTCACGTTTTGATGCAGAGGACTTTGAGTATGATGTGACTGATGAAATTGACTTCGACATTTCTCATCTTGTTGATGCAATGGAGATGGAGATGGATAGCTTTATCTTTGAAGATTGAGTATTTTTCTTTTGTTATTTGGAATTCTAAGTTGATGTTATGTGATGGATTTAAGAGTGGTGGATTTAAGGGTTCTTGAATTTTTAACTATGATGGATTTAAGTTGATGTTATGTGAATGATTTAAGTGTTGTTGAATTTTTACTATGTTGAATTTAAGTTGATGTTATTTAAGTGTGTTAGAGTTGAAGTAGTGTTGCATTTTTTATGTTGGATTCAGGATAAGTATAATATAATTACATTTTCCATATTTTCGGGATAAACCGGGTGAACCATTGACCCATGACCGACTAGCTAGTCCGGGTCCGGGTCAACCCGCGGTTTGACAGCCTTGGGTTGGTCCGTGATGGGCAATAGCGCTATTATGCTAACCCTTTAAGTGGTTAGTAGATACTAACAAGATGAGATCCTTGTCCACGTCGTCGAGCCACCATCGGAGGGAGAGGCATCACCGGCGCCGTCGTGTGAGGAGGGGAAGAGTGGACAGCCCAAGCCGAGCCGTTTTTGGGAGAAGTGGGCCCAGAATTAAAAAAAAAACCAAAAATTCAAACCCAAACCCACTTCTCTCTCCCTCAACCCGCATTTTTCATTCTCCCCTCTCTCTCCAAAAAACTTTCGAACCAACCCTCTCCCTCTCTGTTTCTTCTTCTCCCGAAAACCACCACCAACAAATCCTAGCGACGACGGCAACGACGGATGCGAGGTCGGCGGCGGCTTGTTGGAAACCACGCCGCCGACGACGTTGAAGCTATCCCGACGAGGAAGAAGACGCCGCCGACGAAGAAGGAAGAAGAAGACGACGAATTCGTCGACGAAGAAGGAAGACGTTGCCGCAGCCGATAGTGGGAGGTAGAAGAAGACTGAAAGGATATCTCTTTGGTTTCAGGTTGGCGTCTTCTCCTCTCTTTATTTTTCATTTTGTTTGTGGATACTAAGTTAGGGTTTCATGGATTTTTTTGTGGAGATCTGGGTTTCATTTTTCGGTTTCAAAACTTAGGGTTCATGCGATTCAACTTATGGGGTTCAGGGTATCGTTTCTCGAATTTTAGATTTCGGATTGCATGGATTCGAATATGGATGTTTAGGGTTTTGTTTCAAGAGAACCAGATTTAGGGTTCGTGTGATTCTAATTTGGGGGTTTTGGGTTTCGTCTCGATTTGTAGATTTAGGGTTTCTTGGAGGCAATTCTGTGGTTGTGGATTTTTTTTCTAGGTACCAGATTTAGGGTTTCTCGAATTCCATTTTGGGGGTTCTAGATATTGTTTCTAGATTATCTGATTTAGGATTTGTTGAATTCGATTTTGTGGAATCTGGGTATCGTTTGTCGATTCCTTGATTAAAAGTTACATGGATATCAGTTTTGTCATCTCTGATGCTGATTGTGATCATTGTGAATATTGGTTCAGTTAATGGGGAGACAAAAAAAGAATGTAAGGGCCGACAATGAGCCAACAGGATCATCAAAGAAACCGGCGGCTGTGGCAGAACAACCAGTAGAGGTTTAATTTCTCACTTCCTTTCATGGATATATTGGCTAAAAAATAATAGTCTGTTTTGTGGATATCAGTTCGGTTAGAGTGGATATCTAACTTTACGTTTTAGTTATTTGTCTGGGGATTATGGATATTTATTTACGGATATCATTTATCTCCGTTTGGATACACTCTTGCTTTACTACGATAATAATTGGATAAAAAACTACTCTGCTTTGTGGATATCAGTTCGGTTAGAGTGGATATTTAACTGTATGTTTTAGTTATTGGTCTGGGGATTATGGATATTTGTTTACAGATATCATTTATCTCCGTTTGGATACCCTCTTGCTTTACTACGATAATAATTGGATAAAAAAACTACTCTGATTTGTGGATATCAGTTCGGTTAGGGTGGATATTGTTCTGTGCGTTTTAGTTATTTGTCTTGGGAATATGGATATTTATCTTAATATATCTGTGTTTCAGGAACAGCTCGTGAAGAAGAGATCCAAGATGGTTGCAACGAGATCTCAGCAAGGAGATGGATCATCACAGGATCCGTCGGATGAACAACCACCACAGGTGTCATTTCTCACTTTGTTTCTCGATTAGTTATTGTTTCCGATACCTTTTCATGGATATATTGGCTAAAAAAACTACTATGGTGTGTGGATATCAGTTCAGATAGGGTGGATATTTAACTGCAAGTTTTAATTATTTCTCTGGGGATTATGGATATTTGTTTATGGATATAATTTATCTCCGTTTGGATACACTCTTGCTTTAATACGATAATAATTGGATAAAAAACTACTCTGATTTGTGGATATTAGTCCGGTTAGGGTGGATATTGTTCTGTGCGTCTTAGTTATTTGTCTGGGGAATATGGATATTTATCTTAATATCCAACTGTGTTTCAGGAACAGCCCGTGAAGAAGAGATCCAAGATGGCTGCTCGGAGATCTCAACAAGGAGATGGATCATCACAAGATCCGTCGGATGAACAACCATCACAGGTTTCATTTCTCACTTCGTTTCTCGATTAGTTATTGTGTCCGATACCTTTTCATGGATATATTGGCTAAAAAAACTACTATGGTGTGTGGATATCAGTTCGGATAGAGTGGATATTTAACTAGACGTTTTAGTATTTTTCTGGGGATTATGGATATTTGTTTACATGGATATCATTTATCAGCTATTGGATACACTATTGCTTTACTACGATAATAATTTGGATATATTGGCTAAAAACTACTACTCTGATGTGTCGATATTAGTTTTGTTAGGATGGATATATTTTTGTGCGTTTTAGTTATTTGTCTTGGGAGTTTGGATTTTTTTTAATATATAACTGTGTTTCAGGAACAACCCGTGAGGAAGAGATCCAAAAAGGTTGCGCTGAGTTCTCGTGAAGGAGAAGGATCAAGACAGCCTCCTGCTAGACAACAACCAGAAGTTGAGGAGGAAGATGAGGAAGAAGATGAGGAGGGACCATGCGACTCATACTTCAGATTCCGCGGCTCCACCTATTCTCTATTCAAAGTGATAAGCTACTGGAAACAAGATGCTGCATACTATGCAGCATGCAAGAAAGAAGTCGAGAAGGCAGGATTCGGAGGCCTATTGGACCTTCGAATGCCGAAAATTCCCAATGTCTTCATGGACGACTTGATGGCTGCTTATGACATCTCAACCAGTACTTTTGTTTTCGGGGAAGGAGAATCGAAAAAGGTGTTCGAGTTCACACATGAGGATGTGGCACGTGTGTACGGCCTTCCTCTCGGTGGGGTTGTGATTGATCTGAAGCACACTGAGGGGGGGGGGGGATGCTGGATAGTTTTAGCGAGGATATCGGCATGATTCCTAACAGGAGCCGCAATGTTTCTATCAAGGCTCTGCGGCAGTTGGCGATTCCAGGCGAAGGTCCTAGACCACCAGTTGCAATGGCTGTCAAGCAATTCTTGTTGCTAGCCTCTGGTTCCTTGCTCGTGCCAACATTTGCTCGGAAGTGCAAGCTGGACTTTGCCCCATACATAGGTGGGAGTATGGAGGACTTTAGGGTGTAAGACTGGTGTAGCTTTATCGCCCGTGAACTTAAGGTAGAGTTGACTGTTGCGAAGAAAAAAGAACATGTTGCAAGGGCCAAAGACAAGCCATGCGTGTAGGTTCTCGGAGATTGCTACTTCTTGACAGTAGGTCCTAACCTTTTTCGATACTTGTTGGTTCAGCTCGGATACTGTTTATTATGAATTACGATATTTCTTGGTTAGAATGTTATATGGGTATCATTTTAGTCACATAGGATACACTTGTTTTGAATCTCGATGCTTGTTGGTGAAATTGAAAACAATTAGCTTCAAATGGTCTGTGGATATCATTTTAGTCACATAGGATACTTTTTATGGTGGCTCTTGATATTCCTTGATTAAATTGCTAGAAATGACGCTTAACATTTATTAACTGAATTTTTTTTACAGCTGCATCTGCTGGACTCCCTAAGCCTACGCGGGTTGCACACAAAGACCATCCCTAGCTGCTGGTTTTGGTAGAAGCAAAATGTGGATAGGGCAAGCACATCTATCCCCTTAACCGGGGGAAGATATGACCTAGCTGCCGATCTGCTGAGTAGGGAAGAAATCGCTGCTCGCAACCAGCTCCAGCCAGCGGCTAATGAGGGTACTAGTGCAACAGCGGCCAGCAGTTCAGCTCCTCCTCGAGCTCATGCACTGATGCCCACAGTAGAATGGTGGGAGACTGAAGATTTGACTAGCCTTCAGCTAGAGCAGGTAAAATGTTATTTTCCTCCCTATTTAAGATAGTGCATTAGTAGACTTGGATGCATATAGTAACCTAAATATTTCACAACATATGTGTAGCTTAAGGGATTGAGGGAAATGACTGAGAGAATGATTGAAAAGTGGGTGGCTCGAAGGGACAAGGTACAAACGATTGTCGATAATTTGGGACAGCAAGAGTGAATTTGATCTACTGTTTTTCGTTCTTTTTTCGGGGGTTGTTCCTTTTCTTAACTTGCCATGTTGGAATGGATATTGTTTGTACTTGAAGAGAATGTGTGCAACATGCAATAGAATAAGGGACTTATATATCCCACTGTGTGATGTAGTTTTGGATTGGGTTAGTAGGACATTGGTAATTAGTTGAATTTTCTATTGCATGTTGCACACATTCTCTTTTAGTTTTGGTTTTGATTAGTTGTTAATGTTGATTATATGTTGCCAATTCTATTTAACCTTAACTTAAACATCCTAATCCATTAACAACGGTTTATAATTCATTCACCTAAGTCAAAATTTCTCAGCCAAGTACTATACCATATGGTTAATAGATTTTAGTTTAGACACCTCTTGTGGAAGGTTCTCCACCTATGTTGATATTTCTCACCATTCTAAGTGAGCATTTGTAAAATAGTTAGTAGCTAATGACTATTCATTAAATATGAGTTAATTCTTAGAGAAAATTATTGGTTTTACTAAATACGTTGTATAAGAAAGTTCAGGCATCTTACCTCTGATGACAGCTGCCCCAGCTGTACTACGGAAACAGCCATTCATTTCCTTCGGGGACTGTCGAAGAGCCCAAGCTGTCTGGTCCAAGATCATCCCGCTCTACCATATTGATCAGTTTATGGCGAGTGATAGTGCCAGGTGGCTGAGAAGCAATGTAACTGACAACAAGACGGGTTTTTGGCCAGGTGAATGGGCAAGCTTCTTTAGTCTGGTTCTGTGGTTCATTTGGAAGCAACGCAATGAGAAAGTCTTCAGGGGAATCACCCTATATGCTTCATCCCTCTGCAATTACGTTGTGACCAAAGCAAAAGAGTGGGCTCATGCTTGGGAATCGGCGAGCAGATCTCTTGACAGGAGCAGCAAACCAACCCGGGTTGAAAAACTCATTGGGTGGTCGCCACCTGCAGCTGGTTGGTTTAAGCTAAACACAGATGGGGCAGCTCAAGGTCACAATGGAGACATAGCAGCGAGAGGGATCATCCGGGACAGCGATGGGGAGTGGATAACAGGCTTTGTGTATAGGATTGGTTCAGGCACCGCGATTTTGGCCGAGCTTTGGGGCATTCTACAGAGCCTTAAGCTTGCTTGGAAACACGACATTCAGTTCTTGTTCTTGGAGTCGGACTCTGCTTTAGCGTTGGACCTGATTCGTCAACTTCACGACCCTGTTCATCTCCATGCCAGTATTTTCGGCGAAATTCGGTGTCTTCTTGGCCAGAACTGGGTGGTGCAACTGGGACATACATATCGCAAAGGGAATAGAGCCGCGGACTGGCTCTCGAAGTACAGGCTCGTCTATCCCTTCGGTATGTATGAACTGGAAGCTCCACCCCCGGAGTTAGCTCGGATTATCAGGGAAGATCTCATGGGAGTTAGCTTTCCCCGGATGGCGATTAGGGAAGCTAGTGTCTAGTCTCCCCTGTGCTCTTTTTCCTCTGTTTTGTTGCTTGAGGTGATTTTGCCGCCTACGCGCGGTGTTTGGGGTTCTGAGTAGTGGGGGCTGCCGCTTGCCCCTGTCTGTTTTGGGGCTGCTTTTGGTGGAACATATATTGTTTCCCACCTCCTTTCAATAAAAAAAAAAACTAAATACGTTGTATCATTAACATAGAATTCTCATACTAAATTTTGTGATTTATCTAAGAATTTTTCAATCATTAAAATAACACCATATCGTGTCTTCTCATGCCTTTGCACTTAGTTTTTAACCTAGGTTGTTAATTCAGGTTTCCCAACCAAGGGGAACAATCTCTGATTTAATGTTTGTTAATAAGGATGAGATCAATCTATTAAGCAAATAATTAAAAGTGTACAAATAATTATAAAAAGTGTACAAATAATATATAAGAAAATAACGGATGGACAACCTACAACTTGGGTTGAGAACAAAGCAGTTTTTTTATCCTAATATCAAATAGAAAGACTGATAAGAGACATTATATTGGTATCAGTTCAAACGATACATCTAACTATTTATATTGGTATAAGTTCAAACGATACATCTAACTATTTCCTTATGAGCTAATTTTTTTTTACCTCACTTATATTTTGATAAGCACTCTTGATGTCTATTGCCCGATTAAACTAGAAAAACCAGAAAACTGTATTGCAATATTACCCAGCCCAGCCCGCCTAGTGAAGCCCAATAGCCCACTACCCCAGCCCACCCCCACTCCCATGTCGTCCCTAAAATGACTACCAATCCTAATCCTCCTTCCCTTCTGCCTTCCCTCTGCCCTCTAGAACCCGCCGCCCTCAACCCCTCTTCAACTAGGGCAATAAATGAGTCGAGTCGAGTTTTACCCCAGTTTGAACTTGACTCGTTAACAAATAAGTTGAGCTCGAACTCAAACCATTTATTAACGAGTCAAGTCGAGTCGAGTTTGAGTTAAACTTGTTTGCTAAATTCTTAGCTCATATTTAATACATTAATTTTGTATGTCGTGTATGGTACATGTGATTGGTGTAATGATAAAAAAATAATAATAGTAAAATGTTCAACATTAAGTAATCTTATATTTTACTTTGTAGGTGTCATATTGTTTAGTTAATAAGTTTTAACTAGTTCAAATCATGTTATTTCATAGTATCGAAACGATTTTGTACATAATTTCTTTATCGAAATAAAAAATGAGACATATTTTCTTATATGTTCAACATGTTAAACTTCACATGAGGTGAGATATATAATTTAACAATCCTATGAATCATGAAAGTCCAAATTAGATCGATTCGTCCATAAGTCGGTGATCAAGTTGACCCTCTAACCACAATGTTGAGACATCACATGAGCTCTAAATGAGCCAACTTATGAGTTGAGCTCAACAAACTGTCGAGTCGAGCTAGCTCACGAGCTTCGGGACCTGAACAAAGCTTAGCTCAAGCTTGGCTCGTTAGTAAATGAGTCAAGTTTCAAACGAGTTTTTCCCGATCCGAGCCTCGAGCCGCTCGCGAGTAGCTCGGCTCATTTGCAGCCCTATCTCCAACTACCCCAAATACCCAATAATTTCCTAGACTCAGACCCTATTGATCTCCCCTCTCGAGATAACCAAATCCAATCTCGATCTCCTCAATCCTTCCCAATTCCCTCTGCGTAGCACTATGCGACGAACGCAACGAAGGTCGTCGACTCCTCTGCGAGTAGGAATGGCAATGGGGCAGGTTCGGGGCAGGTATTTCGATACCCTTATCCGTCTCGTGGCATGTCGGGTTCTGGTCAAGTAATTTATCATGGGATGTGGGTCGAGGCAGGTCGACCCAATAAATATGTAATTTATGTGAAAAACATTAGAAATATTCATCATTTTTATTAAAAGACCAAGAAAGAAACCGTAATATGATAAAATGTAGTTAAATTATTGGAGAAATTGAGGTTTTCACTTATTTACAACTTTATTATAGTTAAACTATGAGGTAATAAGAGAAAAATCATAATAATTTGACTAAGATTCCATGTAATTTAGACAAGAACGGGTCGAGAATGGAGCGGATCAGAGCAGGTCGGGTCGATGAGGTACCCATGCCCGCTCTGCCCCGCCTACGAACGAGTCATACCCACCCTAAAACAGTCCCAACAGGTCGGAAAATGGGTCAGGTCAAAAATATCATCCCTATGATCCTATCTACGAGCGATGGCGACGACGATGAAGGAGGCAAGAAGCTCTCTGAGTCCCCTGTGCACGACGGTGACGGTGACGAGGAGGGTGAACGCATAAATAGAGATAGCAGCCGACGCTTGACGATCTTCACCACTCCACCGTTCGATTCTCGCCTCTCTATTATATTCTCCAATCCGACAGATCAATTTAGTAGACTAGAAGGCAGAAACAGAGACTGTCGGAGACTTCTTGTTTTTGTTGGTTGAATGTTGGGTTTGCATGCTACATGGGAGGGATTTCAGAGTGGAGAAAAGGAAGATTAGAGAAAGATCGAGAAAGAAGAAGAGAGGGTAGGAATTTTTTGGTTTTCTAGAACAGATAGGCAGATTGAACAGATGAGAAAAGGGGCGAAAAGTGGAGGAAGCACAGAACCCTCTTCTCATTTTCATTTTTTTTCCTCCCCAATTTTTCTTCAAACGGCAGCGTTTTGGGACTGGATTAATGCCAATCCTGTTTTTAGTTGAAACCAGACCGGATTGGAACCGGTCACGGTTGAAATCAGATAGCATCCAATCCCGTTTCCGGTTGTGATATTGACGGAACCAGTTTTAAAAAACCAGGTTAATTCGGTCCAGTTTAACCGGACCGGACCGTTTCCCACCACTAATAGAAATAACCGCTACTTTATTATTCTTGCTTTAGTTTTTTTCAATAAACTTTATTAGGGAAGAGATGGGATGCTAACTCGGGCCAACCCCTGTTATCTCCATCCACGAAAATGAGGGTTTTTTAGGTGTAATGTTTTTCGCTCCAAATCTTTTTCATTGTGTTCTGCTTAGGGCTGCAAATGAGCCGAGTCGAGTTTTACCTCAGCTTGATCTCGGCTCGTTAATAAACGAGTCGAGTTTGAGCTCAGCTCGTTTATTAACGAGCCGAGTCGAGTCGAGCTCGAGCTAGCTTGTTTATTAAAATCTTAACTTTTATTTGGTACTTCATTTTGTATATCATGATACATATGATTTATTTTGTTAGTTAATCTCATCTTATACTTTATACTTTGTTGGTATCATATATCGTTTAGTTAATAAATTTTAACTACTCCAAATCATGTTATTTCATTGTATCGAAGCAATCTATGATGCATAATTTCTTTTTAAAGTAGAAAATAAGATATATTTGCTCACATACTCAACGTGCAAAACTTTATATATGGTGAGATATATAAATTAACAACCATATGAATTAAAATCATAAGATATAGATTGATTCGTCCATAAGTTGGTAATCGAGTTGGTTCTCTAGCCACGTGTTAAGACATATCATGAGCTCTGAGACAGCTCACGAGTTTAGCTCAACAAGCCACCGAGTCGAGCTAGCTTGCGAGCTTCACGAGCTGAACAAAGATGAGCTCGTGTTCGACTCGTTTATTGACGAACCAAATTTCGAACGAGGTTTTCTCGAGTCGAACGTCGAGCCGCTCGCGAGCAGCACAGCTCATTTGCAGCCCTAGTTCTGCTTGCTGGGTTTGATCATTGTGGTGGAATCGTATTTTGTTGTAGTAGTTTAGGATTTCCAGCCCACTGTTGTAGTTGTTTTATCCTTTCGTGGTAGCTATTGCTGTATAGTTGTTATTTTTATGTAGTAGTGGTTTGATTATAGTGATTTGGTTTATTAGTAGTAGTCTTATTGCACTGTTGTAGTGTTTTGTGGCGTAGTAATGGTTGTAACAATCTCCGACTATGGACAACAATCAGATTATGTTGGCCATTTTCTACTATAAAACACTGATATGCCCATAGTGGATTAAATTACTACCATTGTAAAATCACTACCATTGTAAACGCTATGTATGTCTCTGAAATTGCTACTACAAGCAACCAATTAAGGAATGAAATCCTGTTCTAACATGAAATGATTACGCATAAACAATAACGACCATTACAAAACATTACTATTGATTGTAAAATGTGAACCCTACTGATATCATAGAACACTACTACCTTAGTATGTATAAGTCTATAACAATAATTACAACAACCCATCGTCAAGGATAGCCAGTCCGAGAAGGGAATAGAGTCGCGGACTGGCTCTCGAAGCACAGTCTCGTCTATCCCTTCGGTACGTATGATCTAACAGATCTCCCCCAGCTGAGTTGGAAAGAATTCTGAGAGAAGACATTAATGGTGTCAGCTTCCCTCGAAGAGTGCTGCAGAACAGGACCTAGATTGCTTGTGTCTTATTTGGCCTACCTGGATTTCCTCGGCTTGTTTCCTTTTAGCTCTCTTTTAGATTTTTGGTTTGCTACCCTCCCTGGACTGATTCTGCTGGCCTGTAGCAGTTTCAGCTGTCTGGGTTTGTGGACTGTTGCTTGACCCTTGGCTTTTTGGGAAAAAATCCCAAAGTACACTAGTTTTTAAAAAAAATTCCCAAAATACATTAGTTATAAAAAAAATTCCAAAACTACACATGTTTGAGCATCACCGTCTTTGTCTAAAACGGTGAAGGTCATCACCGCGTTTGACAAACACGGTGAGTACTTCACCGTTTTAAACTAAAACGGTGAAGTGTTCACCGCTTTTGTTAAAAACGGTGAATACCTCACCGTTTTGAACAAAAACGGTGAAGGCTTCACCGTTTTAGACTAAAACGGTGAAGCCTTCACCGTTTTTGTCGGCCGCGGTGAAGATGCTGACGTGGACAGCACGGGGTATTCACCGCGTTAGACAAACACGGTGAATAACCCGTGTTTGTTTGCGTCATCAATCCGCGCCAATGTGCTTTCACCGTGGCCGTTAGATGCGGTGAGACGCGGATCGTGGTTTTCTTCCCACGATCCGACGCCTCACAGCACGCCACGTCACCCATACATTCACCGCGTTTGGTTAAGGCGGTGAGTTCACCGCGTTCATCAAACGCGGTGAATGGAGCCCTAATAACTGCTGCGCATCTCCTCCCCCCTTCCCCCAAACTATAAATACCCCCTTCCCCTTTCACTTTCAACTCACCCCACAAACATTTCACTTCTTTCTCCCTCAATTTATCCGCTCTAGTCTCGTTCTAAGTATGCTCTGTGGTTGCGGCTAAGTCCGATCTTCCACATCAGAAAGAATTACTAGAGTTTGACCCTAAAGCCCCCGTCCCGCTAAGTTTCCGTCCCTTACAAAGCTAAACCCGTCGAACCTCTGCCCGTCCCGCTAACTTTTTCCTGGCTTTTTGCCTCCCTCAATTCAAAAAAAAAAAAAAACTACGGTTAAATCTCTATCAATCAAAGAGAGAGACAATTATAGAGAGAGAAGTGGAGGAAGAGGGATGGAGTAAATTCTAATTTTTTTCACAAGAAATAGACATTAGTTAGTGTTTTCCTTAAATAATAACCGTCCCCAATGAAACCCCATTAAATCCGCATTTCCGTCTTTCCATAAAATCATCACTAATTTCGCCATTCAATTTTTTTTTCCTGTTATTTCCCTATTATATCATTTCTCCAATTTTAGCCATTAGATTTAAATAAGAATAAATGGTTTAGATACTAGTTAGTATCATAGACCAGGAAACCGGATCGTACCGGCCGGTTCAACCAGAAATTGGACCAAAAGCGGTACGGTGGGCTGATTGTGCTGATTTTACCGTGCCGGCCGGTTTTTTCGGTTTGACCGGTTGAACCGGCCGGTACGATCCGGTTTCCTGGTCTATGATTCAGCTTCAGAACTACGTATTCTCGTCCAATATGTGGAAAATAATTAAAAAAGAATATTATTTTGCTATTTTTCTATGTTGAAAATGGGTCACCGTGGTTGTATAATGCTCTATTTGGTTCTTTTTTTGATGGATTATATTTTTTATATTATCGCATTTCATTTCTCTATCAATAGTGAAAAACGGTATTTACCGGTACAAAACGGTTGAACCACGGTCGTACCACAAAATACCATACCAGAAAGGAATCCGGTATGATGTCCGGTACGGTTTCCTTTACCATGGTTAGTATGTTGCTAACCCTCTATAGAGTTAGCACCCTATCTTCTCCCATTTAATTACTCGGCGGGGCGGGTGAGGTGGAAAATGTTATTAAAATTTGGTTTTTAATTATTTTAATTGTCACGTCACTCATTTAACGGTCAACTATAAGAGTTGACTGTCACATCAGATAAAATTAGCGGAGATTAATGGAGAGTGATCAAACTTGAAATGTTGAAATAATTTTAGTGATCAGGAATGAAATAAATAATTTCATTGGCAAACGTTAAATTTTTTAGTAATTCCAGTGACCAAACTTGCAAAGTACCCATAATAAGGAAAGTCGGACAACAAAAGGCAAGAAAATTTTATTTTTGATTAATTTTTCAATTGCTAAGTCACTCATTTAACGGTCAACTATAAGAGTTGACTATATATCAGATCAGATAAAGTTAGCGGAGAGTAACGGAGAGTGACCAAACTTGAACTGTTGAAATAATTTTAATGACCAGGAATGAAATAAAATAATTTCAGTGGCAAACGTTAAATCTTTTAGTAATTCCAATGACCAAACTTGCAATTTACGGGAAGTATGACAACAAAATGTATTATACAATGATAAAAAAATATTATTTTTCGTGGGTTTGAAGTTGTATAAATTCATTATATAGTGGACTTAAATCATACGTCAACATTTATCAATTTATCATGATTTAAGTACACTACGCTTGCCAAGTTGGATGGATAAGCCAAGTTGGATCTGGCTGTGGGGGGCAGCGATACCTCTCAAATTGAAGGTTTTTGTCTGGCAAATCCTTTGTCGGGCTTTACCAACTACTGATGCGCTCATTGAAAAGAGGGTTCCCGTGCTCCCCCGATGTCCGGTTTGCTAGGAAAGTCCGGAGACAATGGAGCACTTGTTTCTTGATTGCCCGGTTGCGCAAGCCCTCTGGGATTACTCGGGGCTAGAATACTTGGGGGAGGGACTGCCGCGACACACGTTCCCCTTGTTTCTTAAGCGTCTGCTGGCTCTGATCCATCATCCACATTTGTTCATGGCGGTGGTTGCTATCCTCTGGCGGATATGGCGATCCCGGAATTGGGTTGTCTTAAAAGGCAAACAGTTTGGGATGCCGGCGCTAATGCGTCAATTCAATAAGTAATTTGAAGAATGGGTGAGCTTGCCAGTTGACCATGTCCCTATGGGGTCTTTTCCGGTACTGCAGCCCTTATGTCAAGAGGATGATTCCCGCTTTATATGCATGTGGGATGGAGCAAGTAGGAATGGATCGCATTCCGCTGGTGGAATGGTACTTTTCGATCCGGCGCGGTCGCGCATTTTGGCGAAGGGGGTTCAGTTCCCTCAGATTGATGAGCCTAAGATGATGGAATTGCTTGTGCTGCGGGAGGCTGTGGCTTGGTGTGTGGAGTGTGGCTTGTCAGAAGTCCGGTTCGAGGGGGATGCGAAGGTTCTTATTGATAAGATCAATCAAGCCGACATAAGGGATAGCCGTCTGGGTGCTGTCTTGGAGGAGATTGATCAAAGTTTGTGCGTCCACTCTGGGTTTAGTGTGCGATTTGTAGGTCGGGAGAACAATAGGGTAGCTCATTCGGTAGCTAGAAAAGCCCTCTCTTTGTATCCGACTGTGTGTCGCTTCTTTGATTTTCGGGCCTAGCTTGTTTCCAGGATGTAACTATCTTTTTTGATCAATATATGATATCTTTTGACAAAAAAAAAAAAAAAATACACTACGCTTGCCAAAAAACTATGATTAATCAAAAATAAATTTTTGGATAACTTGAGTTGCTTGTATAATTAGCATGGTCCATGAAACCGTACCGAAAAAGTCAGCGATAGGATATTTTATAGCAAAATCGTGGTTTAACCGTAGTTCAACCGTTAGTACCGTTAAATACCGCATATCGGTTTAGCCTCCGATACTGGTAATTTGTGGTTGAACCGCCGGTATGGTACGGTTTCATGGACCATGATAATTAGACACCTGAAATCAAATTTCTTAAAAGACGGATTGAAGTTAATATATATTTCAAACACTAAACAAAAAGACACATAGTTAAGTAGTGTTCAAAAAATATTGCATCATTCAACGGGAAAAAATATTGTATCGAATCATAAGTTTATAGCAGTTAAATCTTAGGACTTTGATACGGTGACATGCACTTTTCGGTCGACCTCATATAGGATTAGGTCGACCTAATCTGTTGTTTTAGTGTAAAAACAGTTTCATGGTGTCTACTTTGGAGATTCATATCTTACAATTGGCTAGATGGAAATTGGAGATTAATGGCTTGTTCTGAAGCTGAAGTGTCCCTCTACACATTAAATTACTTGGGAGCTCGATAAGAAGTCCAGAGACCATTTTTGAACCTGATCAAAAGGTTATGCCAAAACTGGGAAACTGCCTGAAAATGGCTAAGCTGGGAACGTGTTTGTGAAGCCTACTTTGGAGCTCAATTTGAGAAGCATGAATGCGATTCAAGTCCAGGGGCCTCTACCACGTTAAATTAGGTATGCTTTTCTACAAAGGCAAGACATTAGATGAAAGATTGGATATCTTTAAGGCTTCAAACAAAAGGCTCGAAGTTGCTATGAAGGCTGTTTTTCTGGCAGCTTGCTTGTGCTCGAAGTCTGCCAGAAAACAGCCTTCATAGCAACTTCAACCCTTTTGTTTGAAGCCTTACAGATATCCAATCTTTCATACAATGTCTTGAATTTGTATAAAAACATACCTAATTTAACGTGGTAGAGGCCCTTGGACTCGACTCGCATTCATGCTTCTCGAATTGAGCTCCAAAGTAGACTTCACAAACACGTTTCCAGACTTAGCCATTTTCAGGCAGTTTCCCAGTTTTGACATAGCCTTTTGATCAGGTTAAAAAATGGTCTTCTGGAATTCCTATCGAGCTCTCAATCACTTCAATATGTAGAGGGACGCTCCAGCTTCAAAACAAGCCATTAATCTTCAATTTCCATCTAGCCAATTGTATGATATGAATATCCTAAGTAGGCACCATGAAACTATTTTTACACTAAAACAACATATTAGGTCGACCTATTCCTAAATGAGGTCAAACGAATCCTAACTGAGGTCGACCGAAAAGTGCAAGTCACTGTGACATGCATGTCACCGTAGGAGCACCCTAAATCTTATATTACATATCATATTGTTCCTATCTTTTTGTCTAACGAATTTCAAAATTTTTTAATGGGTTATAGGTATGATATGCCCCTCTACTATGTCGTTTTATCGAACATGTCCATCTACTATTTTTTTAATCAAACATGCCCCTTTACTTTGGAAAAATGATCAAACATGCCCTTTTATTAAAATTTTCATCCAAAAACTGTTAACCACGGCCGAACTTTGGTTTGGGCGACACAAATTTCTAAAATATCCCTAATAATTTCACTCTAGAATTTTTTTTGGTTATTTTGTATAGCCAAATAATTCTAATAATTTGAGTTTGATGAGACCCAGAGAAATAAAACAAGGGACAAAACTGACATTTTCTCTCCCATTTGACGATGTCGGGTCGTCTAAATTTCGGTTCAACCATGATTGATGATTTTTTCAATATACATTTAAACATAAGGGCATGTTTAATAGTTTTTCCAAATTATAGGGGTATGTTCGATGTAAGAAATAGTACAGAGGCATATTTGATAAAATGTCATAGTAATGGGACATATTATACCTATAACCCTATTTTAATCGAAAAATTGATTCAAACATTATTTTAATATTAATTTCAAGCTATTAATCAATATCTCACTTATCCTACTTTTTAATAATCCACTATTATTTTCCTTATGTTATTGTTCTGCATAATTAGCCATTTGAGAATTTTCGAACCCCTTTTAATTTTGAATGAACTCATCCTTCTATATGACTAAGATGAATACGGAGGTTGTACAAATACTCACGTGCTGTACCATTTGTCAACACTCATACTATGTCAATAAGTAATTATTAGACTGATATTGAGAAGTAAGCAACTAAGCAAAACTGTTTGGACAAAGGCAGGGAGGGACAAAGCAAAACGTGATTCCAAGACCCACCCGATCAGAAATTGCAACCGGCCAAGTGTTGTTGAAGGAGGATCGATGTTAGAATATTTGCTCTATTTGTCATGCATGCATCATTTGTACAATGGATCATAATGGAGACTTGTAGATGCTCTAATATCAAAGTTAACGGATGAATGGAGATATTGATTTTGTAGACAGGGTTTTGTACTCCCATAAAACATTTACAAAATACTTTTTAGTACTCCCTAAATGACCAAAGTGGTATACAAAAATTTATGATAATAGCTGATATTGGAAATTAGGGTCATTAATTAGATGTCAAGTTTCCAACTAATTAACAATTCAATAACAAAAACCGAATCTATCATAACATATAATCATCAATAACAACTCATCAAAACCAAACCTAAGAGAATGTGTGCACCATGCAATAGAAAATTGAACTAACTAATTGGCAATGTCCTACAAACCCAATCAGAAACTACATCACAAATAAAGATATATAAGACCCTCTATTGTTGGAAATACCTCTTAGGAGACTAGTGCAACTACTTATTTGGAAAACCAACTCTTACTTTAGTCTAATTTCATTAGACTTCCTGGGTTCCATGGATAACAAAAATCGTAATCACGATTTCCCATGTCATAAAAACACGGCCCACTCTGCTTCACGATCCATAGGCAATTGCCACAACGCGGGTAATCCCTCTTCCAGATGTAGATGTCAAACCAATGAACCCTTCCCTCTCCCCAGTCCATGGCGCAATAGAATTGTGTGGATCCCCATAAGTTTGGATGAAAGCTCCAACTAAAGAAATTGTGTGGCTTTAGCACCCGGAGATGGAGATCGTCATCTCCAGACTTGCAATGAACTCTTAGCTCCTGCCCTCCTTCTAGCCCATTCCTCACTTCCACCCTCGTTTTTAGTAACCCAATATCCCACCAATGTTGACTACCATGTGCCTCGGTGAAAGAAGTTGCTAGTGCTAGTAATAAGAGGGCAACAAAAAGACAATTGTGCATCCACATTGTTGTTTCTTTGTTTGTTTAATCGCATTATGAGGTGTCGAGTTGGCTTATTTATAGGTGAAAATTAATGTAGGTATTGAAGATGTTGTGTGATAGTTTCTATCATAAGATCCGCTCCATAAATCTATGATAAGATGAATTGGTTTGAGATGGTAGCATAATTAATGGATTAAAAAAGATCATGCTTTTTGCAATGAATTTCGGGAAATTTGACCATTTTAGTTTTGAACTATTTCCTTTAATAAGAAAAGTATCTAGAAACCAATGATCATAAATCTACGAAAATGTATGTGATAGCTGAAAATGATTATTAGATTACATTAGTTTTTCACTTTCATTTTGGATCTCGTTACTAAAAAATTTATGTACGGGATGGTCTAAATAATTTTGCACATATTTATTCTTTTTCTAGATGTGTCCAAGAGTTGAATTTCCTGATAAGATATTTAGCTAAAAGTTTGCTTTTAAATATTTATCAAAATATTTTCCTTACTAATTTTGTTTTATTAAAAAAATTTGTACCTTCTCTCTATCAACCAAATCCAGAGTGAGAAAGTATTTTTTTTTTCTCGTTATTTGATTGAAATCTAAACGATCTAGCAATATTTAGAATGTGTTGATGCTTTCTCTTCACCTTAGAATTCTTTTCAAGGGTCTCAACATATGACAATTGATATTCAATGCCATATTCCATGGAAAATTCACACATTTGAAACTCACTACCCTAATAACTTTTTTTATATCTCGTAACCGTTTTTATCAAATTGATTATCTTGTTAATTTAGACACACCTTTTAACAAGTCTCAAGTTTCACTCTTATGTTATATTAAAATCACCAAGTCATCAAACACAATGAAAATCCATCATAATACTGAATATACAAAGGTCATTTGAAACAAATGACTGGCAATATTATTGCGAGCAGGAAAAGTAATCGTTTGTGTTTGGAAGAAATGATGCATTCCCCATAACGTTACGGATAAGGGGAAGGTATTGAGAGAACTAATTTTTTTTTTTATTGATGGAGGCCAAGGCCAGGAACAAAATACAACTGCTGAAGGAAAGGAGGATCAGCTCCTAACGCAGCAGTAGAAAGCCAAAACAGACTAACTCAATACACATTAACATTATGGGATTAACTACTAGTGCCAGCTCGCCCTTGGAGCACCTGTCTGGGGAAACTAATTCCCAACACATCGTCCTGCAGAAGTTTTCCAAGATTCGGAGGGGGGTCTTCTAGTTCATATGTACCGAAGGGATAGACGAGACTGTGCTTCGAGAGCCAGTCTGCGACTCTATTCCTCTCGCGATACGTATGTTCTAGTCGAACCACCCATCCTTGAGCAAGTAATCTACGAATGGCTCCGAGAATATTAGCATACGGATGTGCCATGTCGCGCCGATTCTCAATAAGGTCGAGAGCCAGTCTAGAATCCGTTTCCAGAATGAGGAACTGGCTGCCAAGTTTCCAAGCCAGCTGCAGACCTTGCCAAATACCCCACAGGCATGGATCTTGGTGCAAAATCCTCCAATCCAGTCTCCATAGCTGTTCCGAAGAACTCCCCCAGCTGTAGCAAGACCAGACGGGATCTGGGCAGCACCATCCGTATTCATTTTATACCATCCGGGAGCGGGGGCTTTCCAGCTA